GCCCAGGATGCAAGGGTACACTCTAGTTAGTTGTTAAAATGCTCAAATATTTTTATATATTTCTGTAGCTGCAGTAAATAGCCCCTACCCTAACTCCACAAGTACCCACCTCCCAACCACCTGGACCACCCCATGATCTGACAATCAGTTAATGCCTAGCACAGCAGGGACCTCCAGGGCCCTGCTCCAGCAGAAGAGCTGGCTGATAGGGCAGTGCCCAGCACATGCCAAATACATCACAAATCACCCCTGCCACTCTAAGGCATTAGACTTCATCAACAGCAAAAAGAAACCCCTGGTTTCTTAGCACCATCTTAAACCTTTGTGATTCCAAGAGAAGATGAGCTTGTGTCTTAAGGTGACCCCCTCCCCAAGCCAAAATTTTGATCAACAACATGGCATTTGGTAAAAGTAAGGAGGGATCTGAGACAAAGCATCTTCAGTTTGTTTCTATGAGATCTGGTTAATATATTCATCTCCCATAAAATGGGTAACCATTGGAATTCCTATACCTACCAACAGAGAGAGATCTCTAAAATATGACAAGGAAACAAAGCAAGAAGCAAATCACTCAGAGTATAAGTTAATATACTTAAATTAAAACACACACAAAGTAATGCATTTTGTAAGTGTATTCATAGATATGCATGTGTGTATGTCTACATATGGATACATAGAGACATATGCATATATGTGTACATATACATATAGGTAGAAGGATAAAAATGAACTGGTTACCAGCCTTGGCCACTCATCTCTCATGTAGTAGAAGTGGTTGCTAATTTGGCAGTCTGGGAGGTGTGAGTTTATCTGGGAGACAGCCATGAGGGGAGAGACAGCCAACAGAGACACAGAGACAGAGATACAGGGAAAGACGCTTCAGCGAGTGAACTAGAGGATGCTGAACTCAGGCTAGTGGCTGCCTATGGAGTCAGGGATGGGAACAGGACTAAAGGGTTTTAGTTTTATCAGTCATATGTTATATCCAAAAATAAAGCATTAGATGTAAATATAAGACAAAACGGTAAGTCGTTTATTCTAGGTAGAGGGAATACAGGTGTTTGTTATATTAATCTTTGTCTTTTTTTATATTTTTCTTATTTCTCAGAAGGAAGTAAAGCTCCTATTAGTAGGCCCTCCTTATTAACACACCTGGTCCTCAGATGTGGATGGGGAATAGTTTATGAGTTTTCTGCATAATCATCACTCTAATTCCCACTGCCCAGACATCTCAGATTTCCCAATTAGCTCTAACTAGCCCATTGCTGATTTACAAGCGGTGCTTTTTATTATTAAAATTTAAGTCATTCATTTCTAAGTCCAACAAGCAATCATCAAATGCTGTGTGATGTTTCAGGCATACTGGGCTGAGTCATCTGTGGTTTCTGCCATAGGTCATTCCTGTCAAGTAGGCCAGACAGGTGGTCTATCAGCAAAGAAATGACATTGTACTGGGACTAGAGCATAATAAAGGCATTTACTAAATGTTGTGTAGGACAACAGAGGGCACGAATGAGTCTTGGATGGGCAGCCCTTCCTGGAAGGCAATAAAAGGAGCGTATGAAGGTCTATATATAAAGAAAAGGAGGGAGAAATGGTTCCCATGGAGTCTTTTTATATGCCAATTACACACAGATCTCGACACTCACAGCAACCCAGTGAGGGAGGTAGTAAGTATTATTACCATTCTGATGTTGAGGAAACAAAGGCACTGAGAAGGTAAGTAACTTTGCTGAAGTCAGCGAGCAATTAACTGGCATTGTAGATTCTCACCCAGATTTGAAAATGCAAAACTGAGACTGGGATGGATGTGAAGAGATGAGGGTTTCCCTAAGTCAAAGGTGGGGAAATTCTGGTACCCGTGCCATCACTCTTTATCCAAGACTGTGATGCTTGCTGGCAATAATCTATCAAAGGCAGCTTTTGGCATTTGCTTAGGTTGAAGAAAAGAGTCAAAAGAGATCTATTCTGAGCCAAATATGAGTGACCAATGGCCTGTGACAGAGCCCTCAGGAGATTCAGAGGACATGTGCCCAAGGTGGCTGGGCCACAGCTTGATTTTATACAGTTTAAGGAGGCGTAAGGCATCAATCAATACATGTAAGATATACATTAGTTCAGACCAGAAAGGCAGGACAACTGGAAGCAGGGGCTTCCAAGTCATAGGCATATTCAAAGATTTTCTGATTGGCAGTTGGTTGCAAGTTATTTTCAATAGGAAGGTTCAACAAGAGGTTACAGAGACCAAGGTTTTATGATGCAGATCAAGCCTCCAGGTAGCAGGCTTCAGAGAGAATAGATTGCAAATGTTTCTCGTCAGACTTCAAGCATCGACTCTATCAAAATTCCAGAAGGAAGGAGAGTGTAATAAGCATGTATGGCTCCTTCCTCCCCATCACAGCCTGACTAGTTTTTCAGGTTAACTTTGGGATGCCCTTGTTGAGAGGAGGGATGTATTCAGATGGTTAGGGGCGGGGGCTTAGAATTTTATTTTTGGTTTGCACTTGTTTATCCTAAAGTGAGACCTAAACAGAATCTGACTTCATAAAGATCAAAGAGATTCAGGCTTAATACTAAACAAGGCGAGTCTTAGATACACCATCTCATCTTGCCTATAACTCCAGTCTAACTTCTTTAAGTTACCTGACTTTACAATAGAGGATATTTCACTTCCACCTATGTGGACATGTTCTCCTGGCCCAACAAGGGCCAAGAAAGGAGGCTCAGCCTGGGAGAGGGGAGCTGGGGCTGGGAGAAGCTCTGAGGACAGCTGAGGGGAGGCACCACCCTGGGTGCTGCCTAATCCATCCGACATGGGGACACACTGTTCCAGAAACCAGATGACAATTAATAGGAAAAATCTGCTCTCACAGCACTGCCAAGCATGTTGCAGGGTCTCAGCTGGTGGTGCACCTCCTCAGGGGAAGAGCAATAATGCCCCATTCTTCCCTTTGGTCAAGGCCCTGGTGTTTTCTAAGGTGGAAGGAGGAAGAGCTAGGAAAGCTCCAACTTTGTATAGGCAATAGTGCCAGTCTGCAAAACCAGGAGCCTAAGGATTATCCAAAGATTGAAGGCTGTGAGCTCCCTCAGTGGTCCCCTCATGTTCTAGACATAGGAAGCCCTATTTCGCACATTGCGAGTGTTCACAGATAAGGTATCTCCAACCTAGGTGCCTAAGAGTGGTCTGATTTTGTTTGTCATCTGGCTTCCAGTCAAACTTCCATCCTGTCTTTATAATTTGCCTGCATATGTCTTTCTCTTGGTCAGAATATCTCAGATGACTTAAGAAAAACTAGCTTGCTTCACTGTGACTTGATCAGGTTCATCAAGAGCAGACAGTGCAGTGAAAAGGCAGAAGCCTTCTAGAAACAGGGTACTCTGTACCTGTTTTTTGTTTGTTGTTTGTTTTTGAGACAGGGTCTCACTTTGTTGCCCAGGCTGAAGTGCAGTGATGCGATCACAGCTCACTGCAGCCTTGACCTCCTTTGCTCAGTCAATCTTCCCACCTCAGCCTCCTGAGTAGCTGGGACTACAGGGTTTTCTCCTCTTCTAATCCTCTCTGGATATCTCCCTATATATCAGTGTTCTGAATGTTCAAGGGTCACAGAGACATCCAAGAATATAGTAAAAGCTATGGACTAGCTCAGTTCCATGCTCAAACACTCCAACATTCACATAAAACTCAGGGAATCAGCCGGGCGCAGTGGCTCACACCTGTAATCCCAGCACTTTGGGAGGCCGAGGCGGGTGGATCACGAGGTCAAGAGATCGAGACCATCCTGGTCAACATGGTGAAACCCCATCTCTACTAAAAATACAAAAAATTAGCTGGACACGGTGGCGCGTGTCTGTAATCCCAGCTACTCAGGAGGCTGAGGCAGGAGAATTGCCTGAACCCAAGAGGCAGAGGTTGCGGTGAGCAGAGATCACACCATTGCACTCCAGCCTGGGTAACAAGAGCAAAACTCCGTCTCAAAAAAAAAAAAAAAAAAAAACACTCAGGGAATCACTGTCCCTATGAATGCCACTCATGTACTCTTCTCCAGTCCCCGAGCCCCAAGGTCCCCCACCACAGACACAAACTCATTCATAAAACCCACAGAAATTCATCTCTCTACACATCCCATGTTCTCACCAGATAACACCAACCCAAGTCCTATCTCAGCAACCTGATAGCCTGTCAAACCTTCTGTTATCCCTCCCTACCCACCCCTACCCAACATCACCATACATGGAAACCCCAGCTCGGAGTGTATCTCGAAATTCAAGTTTGTTTTGGAACTGGTACCCAACTTCCCTTGAGCCATTTGGTCACATTCGTCTCTGAGACCAGGCAGGTGGATGCTAATTCACCATGTTAACCCCTTTCATGCCAGTCCCCTTAACCAAGCCTTGGCAAAGAGCCACATCCCACAACCCCACCCTGCCACAGTGGAGTGGAGCACTGTATGTCATGGAAGCCAGCCAGCAGATTTAGAAATCATGTTGCTCTTGGCATCTACTCTGGGACTCTGTGTAGAGCTACGTGCTGAGATCCCATTGCCTGGGCAGCTTTTCAATGCCAGAGTCTACCACCCTACATCTTGCTGTGCTTATGCCTTCCCAACACAACTTCAAAAACAAGAGGAAAAAACTTGTGTCCTCAAACTAGGAGTCCCTTTGCCCACCAATAATAAAAATAAACCACAGTCCCTTTTCATTTGCCCTCAAGTCCAACTTCCTTTCCAAATTATCTTCATTGCATACGCCCATCTAAGCAACGTGTATCAGCAGTCACAGCAAAACCATGTGGATCCCTGGTTTGGTTCCCACAGATCCCAACACTGCCTTCAAACCATAATTACCAAGAACAAGGGGCTAACCGGAGTTTCCACCAGTACCACTCAGGCCCCACGAGCAGAGGCCCCCTCAGAGAGCAATGGATATCAAAACAGTACCTTCTGACCAAAAGCAGTAATGTTTCCCCCGTGACACCCTTGAAAATGAAACTCCCACCTTACCCTTCATTCCAAATTTGGACCGTCGACCATACTTGTTGATCATAATGAAAAGAACCACCAACAGGACACAGGCAAAAGCAGCAAGTCCAACTGCTATAGATACCTATGAGGAACCAGAAACAGAAAGTCAGTGAAAGCCGTGGAAAACCCAAGTTCTTTGAAAATAATGTGTGTGCCCAGATAAGAGCCAGTCCTACTGCCATAGTAAGTGTACCCTTCTCAGAACTGCAATACTGAGTAAGGTCTTTAGAAGAAGAAATTTGTGAGACCATAAGAATATTTAAAAATATATAAATTATCCAATTTGATTAGAGTTCCATAATTCAATGTGCTGAGCCCCTTCCCACCTGAGGCCATTCTAACAGATGCAAAAACAAACCTAGAGAGGCTTCTAATTTTGTTTTAATTAGCAAGTGAATTCTGCATCTTCATGTTAAAATGCCTTATATAATATTCTCATCCAGGAAAGTCTAAAGGATTTAGACTCTTTAAAAAAAAAATCCTTTCTCCTCTCTAGAGCAATCTGAGGCTCTGAAATCATAGGAGTGGGTGCTTCAAAACCCCACCCAAGGAGATGCCCTGAGCAACTTGGCCTTTTGTAGAAGGCTTGTACAGTTAGCAGCCCCTACAAATCAGGCCCAGCTCGGCTCCTAACAGACTGGAGATTTTCTGAACCCTCGGGCTTGGAGCAGATTCTCAAAGACTTCCTCTAACAATGAACTATTTCCAGCAAATAAGGAAGGTTTAAACTGCCTGAATGCAGTTCAATTCATCGCTTTTTTTTTTTTTTTCAAAGTTTCAAGTAAGATGGTATTTGGATAAGTCAGCAACACAAATGAAGTCTGAAAATGACAATGCCAGTCAACACACGCCTCTTGATCAAGAGGTGACTCACCCCAAAAGTGTCTTCTTCTGGTTTGTGGGTCACAGTGATAGGAGGTGTGGGACTCACTTCATCAACTGAAAACCAAACACAAAAAGGAGGAGGGAGGTTAGCTTCCTGGCCGGGGAGGCTCAGCCACTGTCCCTGCCCAACTCCCAAGTCCCCTTGACACTTCCTAGTGGAGAACATCCTCTGGAAGCCAGGCTCTTGTAGTCTGCCTTCCCCAGGTTTTGCAGGACCCCCCAGAGACCAGGTTCTTATCTGACCATCTGTTTGGGGTTACAGTCCAAGGACAGGCTCCATAGGAATAAAGGACATTCACTTCCATTCCCTACCCCCACCCCAGAGAAAATAACATAACCTGGGCAACTTGGGGCACGAGCTATAGAATAGAAAAAAGAAGCATGGATTGGGAACCTGGCCAGGGTCTGGATTAGGCAAATGTTACTGGTGGTGGCAGCTGTTGCTGACATTCTGCTATTTCTTGCCACAGGCATTCCTTTTCCTCTCCCTCCCTCTTTTGTGACCTCCCTCTTTCCTTCTTTGCCCCTCAGTGAGATCCAGGAGGCCTGGGGATCCATCAAACAGCCCACTATCCATTCTCCTAACACTGATTTCAGAACACAAGGGCAGCTCAAGTTAAAAAACAGAACCATCTGACCGGGAAACACCACCTTTACCTGGCAAGCCAAGGATGGGAAGCCAACTATCAATTTTCCCCACACTCCACCATCTAGAATTCACCTCCTTGACAAGAAATGGCCCCAATTCAGAATTCTCTGAAGGGACATTCTGCAAGATTACAAGTCCTCTAAGACCGAGGACAACTAGAGGAATCACAGATGATACTGACATCAGTAAAAGCCAAGGGTGTTTCTAAACAGCATCTACTATTTCAGGCCAGACACGGGGCAGAAATGGCAGCAGTTGCTGCTGTATTTCCACCTTCCATGGAGAAAAAAAGAAAAAGGAATAAACATAGGTTCCCCACAGTCCATAAACAAAACCCCAAATTCTTTTAGGATTGTCTAGCCCTAGCCCCAAATCGCTTATAAACTGAGCCTCAATAATTCCACTTGAGGACACATGAGCCTATCAGGAAACCTTGTAAATCAAGCTCTCATGGGGTGAGTCCTGGCCAAAAGCTCAGGCTCTTGAAGCAGGTGAGAAACACTAGCAGGTTTATAGGTTCCATATTCTCTCTCCAAGAACAACTAAGATGATCAACAGGGGTCTATCGAGGCACATGAAACCCCATGTCCATCTTCACAAAGCCCCTCTCTATCCAGGCAAAGAGATCCACAGCATCGTGAGACCTTAGAAAACTCCCTGGGGGAAAGTGAACCACAGAGATTACCCAAGAAAAGTGGGCTTGGACCTGCCCGAAAAGCATTGCTACTTTTCAGTTCCTTTTACACAGTTCACTGAGACTCCTTCAGCTGCCATGGGCCAGGGATGATGTGGAATAGGAGAGAGGGCTATTTAAATTCAATAGTTACCGATAGTATCAGAATAAATCAGTTTCAAAGCAACAGGTAAAGCAGACTTACACAAGATAAAGTTATCCGTGCTCTCTGCAAAAAAAGGACAAAGAGATAATTAACAAATTTAATAAAAACCAGAACAGACACACCACATGGTCCTAAGAGCTATGATCTCTCCCATTCACCATGATTTCCTGTTCCCATGGCAATTGACAGACTAAAATCCATGGCACATCACCCTTTTCCCCAAGTTAAGCTACCACTTTAGTGGGTGGTCCTCCAAATGGAGAAGGAATGAAACAGAAAGTTCCTGGTTTCCAGGCAGGCGGCCCACCTAGGAACAAGAAACCAAACCGGTTCTGTTATGAGATGGGGAATTAAAAGCAGACCCTCAGTTTCATTCACAGCTCTTCCATAGGGACCCAAAGTGCTGGGAATGGGGCCACAGGGTGGGCTCCCCTAGACATTCCTTTAAAATGCCAGGTATGACCTTAAGATAAAATTCTTCAAAGTAATAGGCAGAGTTGATTCTAGTAGGTCATTGAGAAATTCTTGGGAATCCCTCTAGAATCTGCCCGTCCTCCAGATGGTAATGTGTTACTTGATCTTTGGTGTCTAGAAATAGCTCACCTCATAATGAAAGCTAATCCTTGTCGCACACTGATTATGAGCCAAGGACAGTGCTAAATGCTTCATGTAACAGATCACTCAATCCTTATTACCATTCTAAGAGGTGGTAACATTATCCCCACTTAACAGATAAGGAAACAGGCTTATACAGATTAAGTAACTAATTGGATGCCATTCATTTAAGAAGAAATTGGAGCTGGATTCAAATCCTAGTCAAGTCTTTGCCTACTCTACCAGAGATGCTCCAACTTTAGCATATAACAGAAGCACCCAGAGCGTGATTGCTACCAACCTCCAATAAAAGGGTGAGGATTCCTCGGATAAATGGATGATTTCAGGGCGGAACCAGGGAAACTACAAGACCTGCCTGGAACGGCATGCAATGCTAGAAAGTGAGAAAGCGCTCAGAGATTAATGGAGGCCTGGAGACAGGACATAGGAGCCAATGTACAGGGGATTTCAATGGCCAAATGTAGGATCATTTAAGCAACAAAATGATGACAGTCCTGGATTGTTACGGATGGGAATTCTGTCCTCCCAAAATCCATATACGGAAACCGTAACCCTAGTATTTGAGAATGTGACTGTATTTGGAGAAAAGGTCTTTAAAGATGTATTAAAGTTAAAATGAGGCCATTAGGGCAAGTCCTAATCAAACATGATTGATGTCCTTATGAGAGAAAATTTCAAGGTGAACAGACATGAAAAAGGAAAATCACATGACCACACAAAGCAGAGACTGCCATCTACAAGCCAAAGAGGCCTCAGAAGAAACCATCCCTGCTAACACCTTGATCTCAGACTTCAGCCTCCAGAATCGTGAGGAAATACGTTTCTGTTGTTTAAGCCACCCAATCTGTGGTGTTTCACTGCTGTGACATTCCTAACAAACAAACACATGAATTATCAGCCATAGAACAAAATAAATATCCATGCGTCCATACTGGTACAAATAAATGTCAATAAATAGAAGGTGGAAGAATGGAATGCTCTTACAGGAGAATTCTGATTTTTAAACATAGAAGGAATGACAGAAGTAGAAAAATCCTCATTTCACAAATACTGTGGTAATTGTTTCAGGCAAGAATCATCAACGAATGTTAAAATTAGAGTGTGAAAGAAGGATGAGAAACAAGCTATTATGTGGTTTTAAAATATTATACTGATGACTTACAAAGGGCAAAATCGTCTGTTTGCAGCAGAGAAAACTGGCAGACACCACCTTGACCAAGTGATCAAGTTAACACCCTCAGTACCAAAACCTATCGACATCATGCACCCCTGAAACAACGCACCGAAAGGGCAGAGCATCACTTCTGCAGAGTTCCTGCCAAAAATGCATAACTAGTATTTAATCGTTAGGAAAAGAAAATCAGAAAAATCCAAATGGAAAGACTGTCTACAGAAAAACTAGTATTCGTAGAAAGTTCCAAGATCATGAAAGACAAAGACTGGAGAACTGCCCCAGATTGAAGGAGGGTGAGGTGACATAGTAACTCAGTGCAGTGTGTAGTTCGGATGAAGTGGATCCTGGACGAGGAAAAAGCATCAGTGGGACAACTGGCAAAATGTAATCCACGTCTGTACACTAGATAATAGTGATGGACCCATGTTAACCTCCTGGTTTTGACCATTGCTTTGTGGTTAGGTAAGACGTTAACATCTGGGGAAGCTGGACAAAGGGTGGAAGGAAGTGCTCTGTACTGTTTTGTAACTTCTTAAAATATGAATTCCAAACTATTTCAAAATAAAAGTCTTTTAAATCTCTAAAAATTAATAAGAAACACAGATTACTAGTCCTCACCCTAGAGTTTCTAACTCAGTAGACCTGGGGTGTGTATCAAGATTTTGCATTTCTAAGTTTTCAGGAGAGGCTGATGCAGCTGATCCCTTTGGGACGTACTATATCATACTACACAGCCTCCTGACTCAGCCCACCATGCCCTGAAAAGTAAGAATGTATTCATTCATTCATTCACTCATTCACTCATTGTGGCCCCTTGCAGTCTTAGCTCTGTTAAGTATGAACCAGCAAATATTCTCTATCCACCTGTGGGGAACCAGATACTTTCTGTGAGGGAGTCCTTCAAAGAAAGTCTTAGTTATGATAAATGCAATTTGTTTGCTTGTTTATCTGTTCTGTATTGCTTGGGAGGACAGCCACAAAGCTTTCTTCACATTCCTGGGCATATCCTTCATTCCAACATCCTCTTCTCAATGGCAGGTGACCAGATGCCTGATTGGGGCAGTGGGAGGAAGGAGGAAATGGAAACTCTAGCCTGGGTTTCAGAGCCTGAGAGAAGAGAGGTGCCAGATCGGTTCACATTTTACATAGATTTGCATGTATCTCATAAGGCTCCCATTTATTAGAGCCTATTCTCATGTTAGCCAAATGTTTTGGCCAAGTCTATGAATCCTGTCATCTCCAAAATCAGCCTATGAAGGTTTAAGGCCTTTGCCAGAGTCCTGAAGCATTTAGACATCCAGAAAGCACATACGCTTTGGAAGGAGACATCACAGCTCCTCTCTGAACTCTGGGAGGGCCTCAGGCATTCAGCCTGGAAGAGGATAGTACCCAGGACCGGTCCTCACCTCTGACCCCACCAGCAGGCTGGGAGGAGTGCTTGTCCAGCACATCAGGACACAATCTGAACATCAACTACGGCTGTGCCATCAAGAGAATGCACATGTCTCCTACGGTCCCAGACCAAAACTCTTCAAGAAGGGCCCTTCTGTAAATTAATCTTACGTTTTAAGAGAAAAGCAGGAAGGTGAAGCAATTTGCCTGACATCTCAGAGCTGACAAGCGATTGAGTGAGAATTAGAGCTTTGGCAATGCAGTTCAATAACCACTACCCTAGACTACCTTAAGATTATCTGTTAGAACTTCCTAGATTGGCCAGAGAATGACTACTCATTCTAGAACTCTTGAATTCATCTCAGCTCTTACAACCTAAGAATCTTAACAGTGGCCCACAGCGAGTAAGACTTTTCTTTGTCCAGACACACTGCTAAGCATTCGGCATTCTCATCCATCTCGCAGATACAGAAATAGAGACACAGAGAAGTGACTGTCCTTCATCTAGTGCTGACGTTGCACTAAACCTCATGATAGGAGCCCAGGCCACCAGATGGGAGGGCCATCTGGGAGGGGCCACAGATGGGATCTGCACCTAAGTCTGTCTGATTTCAGGATACCTGCTCTTAACCTCCATGCTTAGCTGCCTGGAAGCAAAAGAGAAGCACACATGATAATCATGAGGCCTCCACACTCTCACATCAAAAGAGAAGAGCAAGAATCACAGACCAGCTTTACATCTACACAGACCAGCTTTACATCTAGGCTTAGCTGGGGTGAGTTTGGTTTGGAGGGTTATAATGCATCTCTGCTTGCTCCCCCAGATAACTGACTATCCTGAACATTTAAGCATCTTGTCACTTGGCATGACTGGCCCATCTTTTCCCTGTCACTGTCTTTTCATCACCCATTGGTTCCTTTCATCTAAAGACTCATAACAAGCAAACCTTCCCACAGGGTGGCCTGAGCAGGGTGGAGATGGGTCTGAGGAAATGACCTCAGGTGAGGTGCTTTCTCTTTGAGCTTCTCTGTGACTCTATCCTCCCTCCCTTTTCCTGGGGCCAGATTTCCACCCAATTACACGATAGTAGACTGCAAAGGAGGGAGTACCAGACTCACCAGGGGGCTTGTGAAAACACAGCTGCTAGACCCTACCCTAGAATCTCTGATTCAGTAGAGGTGAGTGGAGCTTGAGAACTTGAGTTTTAACACATTCTCAGGTGATGCGGATGCAGCTGGTCCATGGACCACACTTTTAAGAACCACTGGCCTAACTGAGGAGCACTGATAACTGACTAGGGTGACAAATGTATCCAGAGACTATCAGAAGGGGCTGCTGCATCTTGTGGGGGCATAGGATGTATGTCGAGATACCTCCGAAGGCTGAGGGGATACAAAGAACTGCTTCCTCCTGAGATAAGGGAGAGAACAGGGAAGCTGTGTCTACCACATCATCCAGCTGCTGCTACTACCACGCACCTCTCAGGACGCCCTCTGGCAGAAGGATCCCACAGTGGCTCTTCCCTCCTGAACATTCTAGGGTTCCCCCATTCTCTGGCCTCCAGAAGCTTCCCTTTGGAAACAGAAGCACTGTTTCAGAGTGCTTCATTCCCTCACCAATTGAGACTTTCCCTCATCAATAAATAGACTTTCCTCTTTAAAAAAAGAATTAATTCTCTAATCAGGGCGCAGCCAAGGCTTTTAGGGTTCAGTCTTTTATGTCAACAAGACCTCGCCTGACCTTGCGCACCTTAAGAGCAAAGTATCTCTTCTCTAAATGCCTCTGTTTCCACAGTGCAGTCTAGGACTTGTCTACCTGCTGAAAGAGAGCCCAGTGTCTGACATAGGTGACAGGGCAATGGAAGCAGCAAACCACCTTGCCATGTATGTACCTATGCAACAATCCTACATGATCTGCACATGTACCCCAGAACCTAAAGTACAATAAAAAAAAAAGAGAGAACAAGCAAGCCCAGTGTGGCCCAGGAGGGGAAGTATCCTGGGGACTGGTACTGAGCATACTGGGAATGAGGTTGGAAGTCTCAGACCACAGGTGATTTCCAGGGCCTCAAACATCTGCACATTCTCAACCATCTCCGAAAAGATGGTTCCATCGTTCCAGGACCTCAATGGCAAGAATTTAGCTTAACATGCAGCCACACTTACCCAACTTCACTCTTGGGGCCTCTAATTCGAGTTCCCTTGCACTGAAATAAATAAGGCCCCCTGGAGCTGCCACACTCTGGTTATTTGTTGTAAAGTTGACTTCATAAAAACAGATGCTACATTCTGCTAGCTCCTGCTGCCTCTTCCCTTTGTGTGTGTGTGTGAGCATGCATATGCCTGTGTGTATGTGTCATATCAGTTTATACACTGTATCCCATTAGAACTCCTCATTCCTAGGGATTGAAGACAGGAGGTCACCTACTGACTTCCCAAAACAGAGCTCCAAGCTCACAAAGATGCATGGCTTCATGGACAGAATGTATCAATTGTGGAACCCACCAAAAGATGCTACAATAACTTTCACTAAACTCTTTTGGTGTTTTTTTCTCCTCCCACTTCAGGAAGATATTTAAAGCATCTTACCCCGGACAGAGAAAGACAGCATCACTTCCCTAAATCAAAATCAAGCAAAGTTCTTCAGTAACTTCAGTAATTTTTCCTAGTCCACTTGACATTAGCACCATCATAAGCTGAGGGCATCAGGTACGCCCCCTAGCCGCTCAGCATGGAACAAGAGAGGAATGAAGTCACACACCTGGGGGCCCAGATCAAAGTCACGCTGTACCACAGATCAGCAAGTAGAATGAGGCCCAGGTCACTCATCTGTTAAATGTAGGGTTCAACTGGACACACTATCAAGTCCTTTGCAATGGAAAGTCATGGAACCATCAGCAGGTGTCAAACCCTGTGATGTGCTTTATGTACCTTGACTCATTTCAAAGTCATAGGAGCAGTATAATTATGACTGTTTCATAGAAGAGGAGATCGATGCTTAGGAAAGCAGACTATCAGGCCCAGAGACTCCCCACAATTAAAGGGCTGGGTAAGAATTCCATACCATTACACTCTCTGTTTCTCTGCTTTCACACAGTATGCCCTAACATGCACAACTGTTATTTCTAAGGGGTCTTGGTTTTTACCATGACGGCAACTGGAAAACGGAGACTCTGTCCTTGTTTACATCAGATGCGGATGGTGGCTGCACGGGTTCCAGTGTGTGTTTTGCTGCCTGTGATAAGTATGAACACTGGTGCTGCGTCTTCTCTCAAGCTACCATACCCCACCTCCTAAGCTTGTAGAAAGAATCCACACAACCCCCAATCCAGCTACGCCACCCTCACCTGGAAAGGGCTCCTTGAGGAAGTGGCCATTGATGGTCTGGTTGGCTGTGCCCAGTGGGTTTTTGGCAATGAGGGTGTAGTTGCCATTGTTGTAGTGGGTGGGCTTGTTGAAGAGCAGGCAGCCCTCGGAAATCTCTCCCTCCTGGTAGTATTCCACATGGATGATCTTGGACTCCCGCAGAGGCTGCCCATTGTGCAGCCAGTGCAGTGTTGGCGGTGGGTTACCGCGCACCACGAACTCAATGCAGTGCTCCAGGCGCAGCTCAGGCTCCTCCAGGCTCACCACACGTGGGGGGTCTGTCAAGAAAGAAGCCAGCTGAATTCCAGGACACAGAGTCTCCCACCTCCCACAGTAGCCTTCCAGCAACCAAAGTGGGGATCTCAGTTCTTCCCCACCCACTCTGAAAAGGCTGAGGGATGCAGAGGTCCCACCACTCCCCCAGCAGAGGGGAAGAGATGTCTTCATCCAAGCTTCCTACATCCACCTTAACTGGAGGGCTCCCTCTTGGGACCTCTTAGGGGAAGCTTCCTACATCCACCTTAACTGGAGGGCTCCCTCTTGGGACCTCTTAGGGGTTTAATAAAAGAATAGGCTGACGGAGAAGGGTCCTGCAGATGTGGTTGAGTTGGAGCCACACCATCTTCTGAGGGACAAGGGTGCTCTTTCTGGAGTTTTTACTCCAAGGATTTACCTGTCAGTCCTTCCCTACAAGAGTCCTTCTGCCCCTACTGGTAGACCAGCCCACTGCTCTAGCTCAGCCCTGGCAACACCTTGACCCCTCTCCAGCCTCCTGTACCAGTTCCCTCACTCAAAGCCATGCCCCACAATAACATGCACTTACAGTAGACAGTGAGGGCGACACTGGCATTGCTCATGCCCACCACGTTCTCTGCAATACACGTCAGGGTGAAGCCATTGTCCTCACTCGTCACATTCACCAGCGTCAAGTTGATGGCATGAACATTGGTCCAGTTCAGATTGGTCTGAAAACCCCAATAAAAATATAACAATCATTCAAACAGCCTCTACAAGGATGCTCCACTACCTAATCCACAAATACCTTTAGGAATCAAAAGGAAAGCTGAGCAGAAGGTGGAGGAGATCTTGGTGTGAAAGCACACCGACCAAACGCCAGGCTCCTCACAGGCAATAGTTCGGGTCATCCTCCTATTAACCGTATGTGAACAGTAGTTCAGAACTATGCCCGTTTTACAGAAGAGAAAACTAAGTAACAGAGAAGTTGAGTGGCATGTGCAAAAGCAACATGGCTAGAAAATAGGGCAGCTGCATGTAACCTGAGTCTATGTGTTTCTTCCTATAGTAACAAGACCACAAATATTCCCTCTTCTTCAAGACTACAATGTGATCACTCCTTAGCCTCCTGATTGGGCTCAAGCCCAGGATGCCTACCTGGTGAGTGTTGATGGACTGCAGCCCAGTGACTATCCAGTCCACATCAGGAAGGGGTGATCCAGAGCCATTGCAAGTGATGACAGCATTGTCACCCTCTCGTACGGTCAGGTTGACGTGGCTCACGCTGATCTCAGGAAGGTCTGGGAGCCAGACAAAGTGGGTGAAAAGACAGGCAAACACTTACGACCCAAAGGAAGCTCTGTCCATGGGGTTGACGGTGGAACTTCTTGCCTTGCCCAGTAACGACTCTAACAACCTGCTTGAGCTCTTGGAAGCCCCGCAAATCCAAGATGCTTTACATCACCTCCCCAGCAGACATCAGAACTCAGAATTGAAGCCCATGCAGTACCACTCTCCCACATTGCAGTGGGGGGTGGGGTGGGGGGTGGGCAGTGCTCAAGGAATGCATTTCTGGCAATTAAGCTCAATGGCAACATTATACTTTAGGCTCTGGTTATCTAAATGTTTCAGGCTCCCACTGGGGAGCTTGCTTAAAATTCAGATTTCTGGGACCCATCCCCAGACATTCTCAAAGTCTGTGGTTGCGCCCGGAAATCGGCCTTGCTGGAAACTCCTTAGAAGCTGCTGCCATAGGGAGTCCAGACACCACATTTTGAGATACACTCCTTTAGTTTTGATTGACAGGTAACTCACAGAGAGAAAGGGAATCTGATGTGATGAGAAGGAGTACATTGAACTCCTGTCTGCATTCCTGAAACCAGTCTTCCTGTGGCTGATGCACAAAGGGACAGGAATGACCAAGAAGGGAAATGGTGAGTCAGGAGGCCTGCACCCAACTGCAGAGTTCAAGGCTGGAAGGGCATTTTGAAAGGAAGGCTCTGGCATCCCAAGGTAACATCCAGCACCATCTCTGGTGTCTGAGTGATGCCTCCCTGGAGCCAGCTGGGCCAGGCGGCCACTCACTCACCACACTGACTGATGTTCATGCGGAAGAGAGGAAGCTGGGAGCCATCAGCGTTAATGCAGTAGAGGTTCTGGCTGTTCAGCCTGGCCTCTCCCTGCTCCTGCCAGAGCTGCATCCAGCGGATGTCACAGCTGCAGTTGAAAAAGTTCTGCTCCAACCTCCTGTGGGCAAAGAGAGAGGGGAAAGGAACCTCTGAACGGAAGATGGCCCAGGACCCTCCCAGGGTTATGAGGACAAGGGGGACCCTACCTGTTCAGGGATTAAGGGGAGGAGGGATTTCACAAGGTTGTGAAAGAAGTGGAAAAATCCTTAGGTTGTAGTTTGAAAACAATAAACTCGTTAAAAAAAAAAAAAAAAAAGAAATCCACCCCACTTAATGCACCTAAGAGATCCTTTTAAAGTAGTATCAACTTGAGATGCACCTCACAAAACCTTCCAATGGCCTTCCATCTCACTGAAAATGGAAGTCAAGGCCCTAAATAATCTGCACCATTCTCCGTGATCTCTCTGACCTCATGTTCCCTCACCCCCTCCTCCTCTTCAGCCACACTGACCTTGGTGTCTGCAAGTTCACCTGCTTGACTGGGTTGTTCCTACCCCAGGACCTTTGCACTTGCTGTTTCACTGCCTGCCAAGCCCTCACCCAACATATCTGCAAGGCTGGCTCTCTCAGTCTAACACTGCCAGTCCCTTGCCATGCTATATTTGTCTTTCTAGAATTTATCACCATTGGCATCACTTTAAATATTTATTTTTAATTAGTTTGTTTATCTGTCTCCCTGAATAAAAATTAAGCTCCATTGGGGTCAGCGACATTGCCTGTTTTGTTCATTCCCTAACTTAGAAGTGAGCCTGGCATATAAATTCTTGTTAAAGGAGAGAGAGAAAGACTGACTGACTCTCCCTGGGAGAGTAGGTGGGTAGCTATTTCCAAGATATGCTCAAAGCCCATCCTGGGACCAGCTTTATTCTTTCATAAATTCAATAAATTCTTAATAAGTACCTGCTCCATAATTGGCCATGGGCTGAGTGCTGCTGACACAGAGATGAAGAAGACAGTCCCTGTCCTCCAGGAGCACTCAGCCTGGTGGAGAAGAATGTTTGATGGCGGAATAGTCACCTTCAAGGACCTCCTTCTCCACTGATTTTCCTTGTGACTTGAAGTAAGTCATCTCTCCTCTCAATGGGATTATTAAGGAGACGATGAACAGCATTAATCAATCCAAAACTCAGAGTAAGGAGAACCGGATAAATCTGAATGCCTGGATCTTTAGAAGAAACATGATTCTCTTTCTGGACCATGAAGGAGACGAATCTGTTAGAACCCAGTGTGAGGGTCACTTGGGTAAACTGCACTAAGACATGGGATAGTTTTGACAACTGCCAAACTCCAAAATACTTAAGCATGCAACAAAATTAATCAGCTTTCAGGAAATCATGAGGCTCCTGGTGGAAGGAATCAGTGCTTTCCAGTTACTAGGGCACCAGAGGCAGAATGTGCAAATATCCCGACATGGTATCACCACCCTCTTAGCCTAAAAGTACTCTCTTCACATGATACTTTGTCAGAAGGGTGAAGGAAAGCAACTAACCCTTACTGAGCATTTGCTTCTTACCACAACCCTGGGAGACGGCCAGAAGTGCAGGGAGGGGACCTCTGATGCTTGGAGGGGTTACGTCACATGCATAAGGTCCTTTAGCTGGTATGCAACACAGCACAGCTTCAAACCTCCGTGTGCTGGACTCCAAAACTCATGCACTTGCCACCCCATCTATCATGCGCAAGGCATTCCCAGGAACATGGGAGAAGTAGAGGAGCAAGCTAGGAGACCTGACTTCAGGAGCTCATGTAGGCAAACAGCAGGTTGTGGGGTGGCATGGGTGGGGTGTGGGGGGTGGGGGTAAGTAGGAGGTAACAAAGGCAAAGAGAAGCTGTAGGTGAGGTGTGAAAACAGAAAAGAAAGGCTTAGCAGGACAGAGAATGTGTTGAGGCACACTGGGAAACAAAGCTGGAAGGGTGAGTGGAAGCCAGACAGTGGAGGATTTTTACTGCCACGTTAGGAAATTTGGAATTCATTCAGAAGGCAGGGGAAAACCACTGAGGCCTCTATAAATGGAGAACAATGAGGACAAAGAAGGTCTATAAAAAGAGAAATCCAACAGTAATGTACAGGATAATGTACTGGAGAGGAAGAAGACTAGAGAATGAGAAGCCAGCTAGGACAGCCTAGAAACACAGGGCTGCCACGTACAGTGGTGCAGTTTGAGCATTTCTCAAAGTACTCAACCAAAGGGATAAACAGAAGATAAAATCCAGTCTGCACCCTCCTGGCCAGACCCAGCTGCAACCCTGGCACATGGCTGTATGCACCCAGATGGGCATCTCTTCTAATTCACACATAGGCACCATATTGACTGGCAGGGTCCACGTCAACGTTCTCAAACTTTTGGTTTCAGAACTCCTTTTCTCAAAAAAAAAAAAAAAAAATTCCTGAAGGCCTCAAAGAGCCCTTGCTTATGTCAGTCCTATCTATCACTATTTAGCAGATTAGAAATTAAAACAGAAAGATGTACGACTCCAGGATACATGAGCACCAACTCTATCCGTCTTCAGAGCAATGATGTCATCACGTTGTGTGGCCTCTGGAAAACTAGCACATGCTCATGAGAGGGTGAGAGTGAAAAAGGCTAATAATGGCTTAGTGCTACCATGAAAATAGATTTCACTTCACGATCTCCTGAAAATATCTTAGGGCCCCCAGGGCACCCTGGGCCACCACTTGAGAACTGCCACCTAGTTAACATGGCCCCTAGAGTAGAGTGGTTAAAAACTAGAGAGACGGAAGAGAAGAACCAGTAGGCATCACAAGAAAGGCAAAATGGCATGTGGTACTTTGTAGAGGGTAAAAGAAGAGGAAGAAGAGAAAGATGACTCCAAGATTTTAAGCTCCAAGAAACAGGAAATCGACGGCAGGGAGAACTGTCTTTGGCTGAAACCGGAAGAGGAGGAACCCGTGGAAAGGAAGAGAGGACACATTAAGAATGAGGTTGGTATAAGAGTGAGGATGGGGAGGGAGAGATCAAGGTCCTACCAGGGAAAGGGAAGGATGAGGTCGAGAAGCCTCAGAGGTGTTGCTTTGGGGTTATGTCAAGATGCCTGTGAGGTTGGACATGAGACAGAAAAGAGAAAAGGTAGACAGGAGAAAATGAGAGGGAAGTAACAGACATTATAGGATCATAATGTTAGCATCGCACTTGCTGTAGGGCCAACACTAGACTACATGCCTTCCACGCGTTACTTCACTTAACCCTCACGACAAGGAGAGCAGAAAGTCAGCTGAGCTGCCCAGTGTGGGCAGGAAAGAGAGGCTGGAGGCGGCAGAGTGGTGTGGGCTGCAAGGAGAGGCCTGGCCACCCTCCTGGAATGACAACAAGGGTCCAGATGCTTGAATATATGCTAACTGAACCAGGTCAGCCTGGTTTTTCCCAGCTGCTCACTTAACAAGATGCAGGCATTCATTATTAAGTAGGTGTAAAAATACAAATTATCCACCTGGGTGGAAAAGACTAGACAGGCGAGGGGCTTGGCTGCGTCGCCACAAGCCACACAGTACTTGATGCGGGGCGGCCTCCTGTCTGGTCCCTGCACTGCTGCACATCACAACGTCTCATGGCCCCCAAAAGGCAGACGGCATCAGAATGTCCTGAGGCTGGCGGGAGAATGAGGGGAGATGTGTGGGCTGTGCCAAGGATGCTGCCAGGCACAGGCTTTGTACAAATGTTCCACTTCCGTCCATCCTTCCCCCAACAGGGGTCCTGCTCACAGGACCTGACCAGCAGCTGGGTTGCACCTTGAAACCTGGTCCTTTGTTCCAATTGAGTTTATGGGAAACTGCAAAAGAACTGGGTTGTTTCCCCCATCCCTCTGGACTTTCCTCCTGGAGAGCAAGACACACACACAGCAGAAAGCATTTTCAGTCTTGAAACAATGGCACCCTAGACAGCCCGCTGAGCAAATCCACAATCGTCTTTATAGCTGGACAAGAAAGGGTTCAAATCGTGAGGTGGGCAAGAAGCAAAGAGCAGCACATCCTAAGTCTAAACGGTGCTGTCCGTCCTGTGTCCCTCCTCCCATTGAACAGATCTCAAGCAGGGGAGACTTTGGCCAGGGCTTTGGGGGCAGTCCTGTGGAACCTAAAGCATGGCTTTCCACGCTTCATGAATAATGCAGGCTGTTCCATGAATAATACAGCAGCAGCTGCTGCAAGGCAAAGCTTCCCAACACTCAGCCCTTGCCCCAAGATGGCCTGGGGTCTAATCGCAGGGCCCTGAGGGCTCCCTGTAGATTAACTCAGCCCCATTTGAGCTTGTGTGGACAGGCACTTTGCAGCACAGCCAAGGCCGCCATGGAGGGTTTAGAAAACACTGATTCCCTCCAGTCACCACTCTAGTGGTTTTCTTCTTCCCTCCACAGCATCAGCACTGCCAGTGGCGGTCCTGGGGCCAGGCAGTGGAAAATGAGGAGGGGACCCAGATCAGCCAGGAGAGCCCTGCTGTCACCGAGTTAAGGATCCCCAAAGGACAGGCCTCCCTGAGATAACAACAGTCAAATGGTTAAAAAGAAAAAAAAAAAAAACGGCACACAAACCAAAGATCTGAGTTGGGCCAGCTGCGTCATTGCAAGCAAATATACCGGGTTGAGTTGTGTCCTTCAAAAAGATATCCAAGTCCAGCCCCTACCACTTGTGAATGTGACCTAATCAGGAAACAGAGTCTTGGCAGATGTTATCAAGTTAAGGATCACTCTCGATTTCAGGTGGGCCTTAAATACAATGACCAGTATCCTTAAAAAAGAAAGGAATGCTGGATGCGTTTAAAAAGGAAAGGAATGTGCTGGGTGCGGTGACCCACATCTGTAATCCCAGCATTTTGGCGGGGGCGGGGGGGGGGGGGGGAGGCGCGCAAGGCAAGGGATCACTTGAGGCCAGGAGTTTGAGACCAGCCTAGCTAGCATGGTGAAACCCCCTATCTACTAAAAATTTTAAAAAAATTAAAAATTGGCCAGACCTGATGGTGCATGCCTGTGATCCCAGCTACTTGGCAGGCTGAGGCCGGAGAATCACCTGGACCTAGGAGGCAGAGGTTGCAGTGAGCCGAGATCACACCACTGCACTCCAGCCTGGGCTACAGAGCAAGACTCTGTCTCAAAAATATAAAATGAAATAGAAAAAGAAAGAAGGAGATTAAAAACAAAGAGATGGGAGGATGGCAGGCATGTGAGATGGAGGCATAGGTTGAAGTGATGTTGACACAAGCCAAGGAACACCAGGAGCCACCAGAAGCTGGAAGAGGCAAGGACCGGTTCTCCTGCAGAGCCTCTGAAGGGAGCACAGCCCTGCCAACTCCCTGTTTCTAAACTTCTGGCCTCCAGAACAGCAAAACAATAACGCTCTGTTGTTTTAAGTCAGCAAGTGTGTGGTAATTTGCTAAGGCAACCCAGGAAACTAATACAGCGAATACCTTAACTCTCTAAGGTTCTCGTTTAACACCAGTAAAATGGAGATCATTGTGCTCGACCGTCCTTCTTCACAAAGTTATTAGGAGGATTCGTGATAATATATGTTAGCATAATTTGGGGACAATAGTAATACTGTAAGATTATTGTTTAGTGGCACCTCCAAGAGCTATGGAAAGTCATCATACCCAAGACTGGGAAGAGAAATGCAGGACCAGCCCAAGCCCGTCCTCCCTACTGAGTTAATATTTTACCAAGACAATTAAATCTGCAAATGATAACAGAGGTAATTATCACTTTCTTTGAAAAGAAAATGAAATACTCCAATCTATTTCAATCATGTCTTCTCCATACATGCAGGGAATTAAGAGAAGGCTGTTCAAGACACATTGAGGGTCCTCGGAGCACTGCTGGAGCGTGTCTGTGCTGTGGGTCTACTCTGGGACCTCTGGGACCTCTTGCCATCGCCTACATTGTATCTTGAGATTCAGAATCTAAGCTTCTTTTCTTCCTAATTCATTCCTTATCTCTAAGACAATCTCTCTGATTCTTGCTCTGATTTTTGGACAGACAGCTCTAATTTTCTCTGTAAGGGAAAAAAAAAATAATCATCTTGCCATAACCAGAAACTTCTGAGAGCACTGCACAATGCCAAATTCTTCCAACCTGTGCCACTGAAACTGTGCTGGCTACTCCAAGGCAAATCATGGAAGATGTTTCTAACTCGCTCAAAAAGAGGCACACCCCCTAGACACAGGAACAGCAATGATCCAGCGGCTTGGCCAAGACCATCTCCCTCATTCCACAAAAATAAATGAGAGGAGGTAGAGGAAGGGTCTCGGTGCATTTTAAGAACTCTGAGATAGTAACGTGTCTGCTTTTTTTCCTTTGATTCCATGCAAGGAACCCGTCATCTTGAAAGGGGCTTCCAGAAGCTGAGCATGTAGGGTGTGTGCTTGAGTCAGAGAAGAGAAAGAGCATGGTCTTCAGAAACAGATCGGGTAGTGATAATACTAAAAATCGTAACCCTTATTCCCAGATGTACCACTTACTGGCCATGTGATCCTGAACTAGCTGTTTAACTTGGCCAAGCCTCAAATCCCTCATTTGTAACACTGGTCATACCAATACCTCCCTATGAAGTTGTTCCAAGGATAAGACAGAACCTCACACATGTTAGGTGCTCAAGATGTGCCTCTTCCTTCTCCTTCTGTCCTACTGGAAAGGTCATGGACACTTAGCCCTTCCATTCTTATAGCAAAGATCCTCTACTTGGGGAGGGGCTGGTTTGAATACAGCAGAGGTCCTTAGGGACAGATAGAAACATGCTAAGGAATTGCTACACGCGCTCTTCCCCTTCTGTCCCTGCAGAGGGTCACTCAAAGCCTCACACTTCTGGCCTGTGGCATTCCTGGCTCCATACACACTGAGCCCTTTCTCCTCGAGAACCAAAAATCTTTCTTCCTGGAAATACCCAACCCATCCCCACGCCCCAGCCCACAGGCTCCATTGAGCAGACCCTGGCAGTCTAGATGGCTCATGGCAGATGGCGCCATGTGGACTAATCAGGAAGTCAGACAAGAAAATACTACCCTTTCTTGCACTTGCCAGGAACTGGGATTGTTTGGATTTTAATCATAGCCTCCGCTAAGAGCCAACACAGGGCCCCTCCAGCCAAAAGATAAATTTTCCTCTCTCAAGATTCAATTCTTCCACAAAAAATAGACCCCTACCAGGGTAATTGCTCCTTAGAGGGGGGCTTCTTTATTCTCCAATATAATTTTTACTTAGTTAACAATATGACAGAAATAAAATACTCTGTGGACATGGTGGCACTCACACACTGACTCACACTGCAGCGAATGTCTTCATTTCTCCATAAGTCACATCTAGCTCACTGGTATATTGATCCCAGGCAAAGATGAATGCAGAATCCCATGATCCTCTAAGAGAAACCTGACATTTTCTTTAAACATATATCCACAGAACAACTGTTTCTAAAACTCCACAAAACAGGTCACCAGGGCAGCAGTACACCATTGATTTCACATCCAATAATTTTTTAGAAAGAGCACTGAACATTTTCTCAATAATTCAGCCAGTAGCTGACCCTTGATGTCCCCTGGAGAGACACCATCCCTGGCCTCCTGAGGATGGAAGGGCTAGGGGTTCCAGAATAATTAAATGCAAGACACCCAAGAAAGAGATCCCTCAAGCCCATCAGTCAGTTCTAGGGTAACTTAAGAAAGACCACAATCATGTGCTTTTTGAAAATTATTGTAGAATAGATCCTAGTGTTGGACACAGACCAAAAACATTGGGCGATGGTTGAGCACAGTGGTCAAGGCTTTGGGTCCACACACTGCCACTATTCAGTGAGTGACTTTAAACAGGATACTTAACCTTGCTAAGCATCTCAGTGTCCTCCAAAGTGAAGTGAGGGTAGTAATTCCTACCTTATGGAAATGCCATAAGGATTAAAATAAAGGATACAACTTAATAGATTGCTTGGCACCATGCCTGGCACAGAGGAAGAACTCAGAAATCAGTGTTCATAGTAAATCATAGCCATGTTAATTTATCTTTTCCACCTACAGTACACAAGGTCATCATGGGGTGACAGGCTACCGAGATGCTTGATGAAGGCATCAAGAGTTGGGTCAGAGAAGATAAGGTTTTGACTCATCGATGAACTCAGGTCTTGCTAGGTGAAGGGAGAACAAGCTGAAAGGCCAGCAGCACAGGCAGAGGTCCAAGGTCACTGCCTCTTGCTAAAGAGAGTAAAGCAATCTGCATTCAGTGAATTTGGATCTGCATCGCCAATAAGAGGGAACACATGAGTGGTGCCTCTGGAACCCTGACCCGCTAACTTGATCCATGCCTCAATTCCTTTCAATTTATTCCTTGATTTATGCCCTCAACATAATATGATGTCCTTCATGCACAGAGATGACCCCGATGACTCACTCATCAACATGAGTTATTTTTTCCAGCAGTGGCCACGAATCTTCACTCAGCCATCCTACATTTGTTTGTACAGAATGGCTGGCTGGAATAGGAGTGCCCTGATCAGCCTTGGACCACAGCAAGACTAAGGAGTCCACAAGCAGATTGAAAAAATATATATGGCCTCCCCCGACCCCTTGGCATGCCTACACTCAAGCCAAATAAGCTGAAGAAGATTATGAGTGGTGAAAACACATGTAATATGAAGTCAGAAGGTACGGGTTCAAGTCCCAGCTTGGCCAGTCCCTAGAAATGCAGTCTCGGTTCTTAGCTGAGTCTCACATGTCTTTCTAGGGCTCAGAATCCTCACCCATAAAATGCAGAGAATAATAATATCTACCTCTTATGACTCTTATGATGATAAATCTAAGGATATATAAATGAAAGCATGCCTAATAGTCTATAAAGTTATATATTATATCATATGAATATTATAAATTGATATTCTACATTATGAATATTAATACTATTATAACTAATTACCTACAGATCACAAAACTAAGTCCTAATAAAGGAAGAGGCTCTTGCCTTCTGAAATAGGTTGTGCCCAGAAAGAGCATCGGAAGTCAAGCAATGGGGTTAATTGCTCTCACTGAACATGGTACACTGTATGTCATCCAACCCAAGTAGGCTCTTCAGGTATATGTGGGCTCAGCCTTCAGGTAGTTCCATTGCTTGCCACTTGTCCCCATCCACCCATTACCAGCATTTCAGTACCTGGACAGTTTTCAAAACCAAACTTACAATTCCCGAAGACTCAGCGTCTGGAAGAGCTGCCATGAGAGTGTGGTGAGCCGGTTACTTGACAGGTTTCTGCAAGATTGACAAATAATGGGAAATTTTTAAAACAAATCTGGCACAAATAATGCTGTAGGTAGCAAGCTTAGTTCATTTCACTGGAGACTGGCTTTGTTTTCCTTCTTCTTCTTTTTCATTCTGCTAGGCTCATGCTACATCTGCTAATAGTTGAGGCCGTAGATCAGGTTTAGATAGGCTTTTGAGGCCTTTTAAAGGGCACGATTTTACAAATAAAAGAAACCATTAAATTCTCAGTCATTCTCCCATATCCCCTCCCCACAATAAAAATTTACAGAGCCTTTATGCAGCAATCCTTCTGCAAGAGGACAGGGAGTTCTCAGGGTAGATAAGCCCACTAGCATTCTTAACATGCACACAGGTGGAAAACCTCTGCAGGTCAGCTACAATTCCTTTTAGGCAGTGTCTCTCCCGGCAAACATGCCCACCAATGATCAAGACATCAGCCTTTTGTTCACACGTCTGTTCTCCTCCTAATGGCTACTTAATTGTTCTCATTAGGATGTACAGGGGAAAGGAGCAGCCATTAGTCTTCTGGATTAAAGAAGAAACACGCCCACGGTTATTACTTTGCCAGGCTCAACAAACAACTTTTGATGTGATAACAGCTCTTAAAAGTAGCAGTCAGACATAGCTAGAATTGAAGTGGCATCCCAGCAACAATGTACTCATCTACTGATGGGAACAAATGGCAGTACCGATTCCATTTAGGTAAATATCTATCCACACAAACATGATGTGTGTACATGTGTGTCTATTAAACATGTAGGTACTATATGCAAACACGGATTTTTGTTTATACACACACATATGCTTACACATAAACCTATATTTAGATGACTTCTACAACAAATATTTATTGAGGCTACACTGAGGAATGAGGGAGTTGACCATTGAGGGGAAGGCAAGTTCCCTCTGGAATCTTATATTCAAGGTACAAATGAATAAGCAGAAGGAAGACTATCAACACCATGTTTATGTAAGTAACTAATACAGAAGCGGGGATACATGTATTACGGTGATTATGTAAACATCTGATACAGAGAGAGGTGCCTTCTGCGAAGGTAGCATTGGGCCTGAGACGAGGAGAAGGAAGAGCTGAGTACCAAAACAGGAGTGTTTGAGGGAGTACAAGTAGCAAGTGTCAGGGCCTGGGAAAACCAGGGGACCAGGAAGGAAGCCAGTCAGAAAGGAAGGAGTGAGAAGTGCTTTGGGATAAGTGGGAGAAGGATTCATGCCACACTTGCTGGCCATGGGGAGAAGTTTGGATTTGATATTAAAGAGTGGTGGGAAGGCATTGGATGGTTTTCAGCAGGGAAGGGACATAATCTAACTAACATTTTTAAAAATAGAAGGCCAACACTGGAAGTTGGCAGGCCAGTTAAAAGGCTGCTACAGTCTTCCAATCAAAAGAAGGGAGTAGAGATAAGCAGATGGATTCAAGATAGGTGTTACAGGTAGAGCTGCCAGACTGCCTACTTGATTGGATTTTGCAGAAGAGAGAAAAGAACTGAATGGCCAGGTGAACGGTGATGTCATTGAGTAGAACCAGGAAGCCTGCCAACAGATCACCTGGAGGCGATGGGATAGAGACCCTCCCCTTGGCAAACATTACGTTCGAGACACTGTTAGCTATCCAAAAAGAGATGTCAAATAGCCTGCTGTGTTTGTGGGTCTAGAGCTCAAGGGAGAGGTTAAGGCTGGGTAAGATTACATAGGGAGAGAATCTACCCAGTTCCTAACAGGACCAGACATTCAAATACAAGATCAAACAAAGGGACATGGCTTCCCCTTCTCATTGGATGCAGCCCTCTTTGGTGAGGTGGCTTTGTTCTACCCTGGCCTGAACTGGCTGGGTCCCTGTGATAGCCTGTGACTGTGCAGGAGAGGCAGCCTCCTGCTGGGGGTGCAGGGGACTGGTGGAAAAGGGAAAGAAACATAGGTAGTCTCCCAGGTTTACTGTTCTGCTATCTTCCCTATACCTAGCACTCTCCCTGTTCAGAGTTTTTAAGCCTCTAGGATAGTCCCCACAGCCCTACACTGTCACCACACCTCCTCTCTGTAAGGCTGAGACCTCTGGTATAACAGCACATGCTTACTAAAAGCCTTATACCTAGGCTATCCATCATGCTCAGCTTCACAAAACCCCTAATGACTATATATCTTATTCCTACAGAATTGTTCCCCCCACCGATCAGAAAGAAAGGGGCAATAAAAGAACCGCAGTGAGGAACACCTGAGGACACCAGGTGGGGCAAAGCCTTATGCAGCAGCCCATCTTCTGATCAGAAGGGTGGAGCTAGAGACCAGACACACACTCCCACCAAGTCACTGACACTTCCATAACTATTAGACCAGAAGCTTGAACTTGGGGTTCAGGGCAACAGGAATTGGTACCGCTCTGAGTCTCCATTGTCATTAGGCTTTATGATGTTTCCTTAAATCTAAGTGTTTGATTCATCTAGGTAGAAATCTTCTGTCTTGCTATTTTGCCTGGTTTACTCTATGTACCACGCATTACCTGCAGCAGCAAAAGCTGGACAAGCCCCCAACTTTCAAATCCACGAGGTAATCCCTGCAGCCCTTTGGGAAGATGTCTGTCCCCTGCCTTTAGCTTCCCACCCCTCTCCAGTGCTTCCCTGAACAAAACCCATGGTTCTGAAGCTAAGCAACCGCATTCAATGGACAGTCAGCAGCCAGAAAACCCAGACACCTTGAGCCCTGGGGAGCATGCCCCTGGTAAGTGCAAAAGCAACTGGTGGGAACTAGGAGGCCGGGAGACTGAAGCAGCTCGGGTGAAATGGGCAGCGCTGCCTATCTCCAAGTGAGGAGCAGGCAGGGAGCCTGCCAGGCATTTGGGGGAACCCGAGGCAGAGAGCAGGTTACCAGCGATGTCCTCTCACAAAGGTCATGCTTTGCTACATTAGGCAGAAATGTCAAAAGAAAATTGGATTCTGAAAGAAAGAAAATAACAGACACTCTGGGCAAATAAGGAATAAGAAATAGCATTATTGCCTTATTACAAGTTAGAGGAAGGAGGGGTCCTGGGATACCTGAAGGCGGAAGTGGGCTTTGGCTCTCCCAGGGCTGACTCGGCTTCATCTCCCCCTTGCCTCTTCCCTAGCCATCAAGCTCCCACCTGGATTCCTCCCAATCTTTGGATGGAACGGACTGAAGCACTTATGTGCTCTGCCCATAGGCACATACAACCCAGTGCCTGTTTGCAGAGACTGGAAACTGTATTGCACAAGTCCAGGGAGGAGCGGAGGGTGCACAGCCCTTGCAACTATACACGATGCCCTGCCAGACACACAAGCAGAAGCACCAAGCCCCAGAAACAAACTTATACAAAAAAGACAAGGCGGCAACATATACAGAAGGCAAACCATACACGCCACACACGAAACAAGCAGAGCATGCCTCTGGCCAGCCTGCCCTCACCGGCATTGATAAATTCTCATGGTGCAAGGAAAATAAAGAAGCTTTCATATGAATTGCCACCCACTTGGAACTCACTGCCCCTGATTTTTTCTTCTAACTGGGGCCTCACCTGTTTGCACCTGACATCAGTTATTGATGAGCTGGTTACCCTGCTCATCAGACAAGAATTTAATTAGGAACCATCCTGCCTCTGAGCCCCATAGCAGCCTTTTCCCTGGGCATCCTCCCTAACAGATCCATTATCATCTATCTCTGACTTTTGCTTGGGTCAATGGCCAGTTTCCAAGCCACCTGACCATTGAATTAATTTGGTGAGCAAGATTTTATGAGATGATGCATCAAACCCGTTCCCAAAATCAAGTTCCGTGACACTGCCCCTTCTATGTCTCGCCTGGGACTTCCAAACAAAGCCATTAATTTCGTGCTGCACAACTGGCCCTCTCACAGCCCAGCCTCTGGGGTCCAGAGGTAATAAACGATGATGATGTGGCTACTGGGTGCTCCAGGAACAAGAAACCAGACACACAGATGGCTGGACTCTGGGCCCTGAGGAGCAACAGGGCTGAGATGTCACCTCTGGCATTAACCCCATAATGAACAGGGGTCCTCCCAGGCAACCCCTTCTCCGACCAGTAGAAACATCAGCACTAAGCAGTCCTAAGACCTTCCTAATGGTGGCACCTAACCACGGCAGGAATGGAGCCCACGAATGGGGAGGATTTCACCTTCCACCCCGGAAACCCTAGTCACAAAAGGGTCAACAAGATGGACCCTGTTGCCAAAAAAACCAACCAGATGAATCCCTCTGTTGCCCCTCTGGGGGCTGCGAGTTGAGAAGGAGACATTAAGCCCCATCCAAAAAGTGGTCCTGAAGTGGGAAGGATTTGTGGATTTGGACTAAGAGTGAGTTGACGTTTGGAAGCACCTCCTCTTCTACCGATAGAGGCATAGAGGCAGGCCAGTGGGCAGGTGTGTCTTAGGATCTGCATGTGTAAGGGATTGCTGGTGGCAGGTCCTCTGCATCCCTGAGCTATTAAACCAGGCTGTCTCACCTGTGCACTCCCAGGCCAGCTCCCAGATGCTCACTCCACCTCCACACCTCCTTGGTCCCTCTCGCTCAAGTGTTTTCTGTTGTCATGGACTAGATTTCATTCCCTCAAAATTCATTTTTAAAATCCTAACCCAGCTGGGCGTGGTGGCTCACTTATAATCCCAACATGTTGGGAGGCTGAGATGGGTGGATTACCTGAAGTCAGGATTTTGAGAACAGCCTGGCTAAAGTGGTGAAACCATGTCTCTACTAAAAATACAAAAATTATCTGGGCGTGGTGGTGGGTGCCTGTAATTCCAGCTATTTGGGAGGCTGAGACAGGAGAATCGCTTGAACCTGGGAGGCAGAGGTTGCAGTGAGCCAAGATCATGCTATTGCACTCCGGCCTGGGCAGCAAGACTGAAACTCTGTCTCAAAAATAAAAAATAAAATCCTAAACCCCCACCCTTGTGTCTGTATTTGGAAATGGGATCATTAAAGAGCTAATTACAGTTAAATGAGGACA